ACTTACTTGCTCAACAAAATCCACTCAAGGGCCAAACATGGCCAAACACAAAGAACAAGAGTGAAAGAATAATACCTGAATCTCGGGGTGTTACATGTATGTTTCATTTCAAACTTATTACAATTGTGTTTCAAACAAATGTTTCTTTATACTAAAATGTTTTATCAAACCCATGCCTTCAAACCATTTTATAGATTGACATCAAGTCGATCTTTTCTTAGATAATAATTATGTTAAAAGGTTTTACAAAACTTACTTTATGCTTTTATGTTATAAATTGCATGCCTATATATGTATAGTTATATGAGGAATGTTTAAAAGACTTAGGAAGGCTATCCACCCTATTTCCTTTTCGCGCTTGAGATGTGGTCTGGTGTGATATCGGGTACCCGTCCGAAGGTCATTTAAATATTAGTTATATATCATGTGTACATATATAGTCATAAAGGTCCTTCCAGTTCAGCCAATGCCCTTGGGTAGCAAGGGTATACATCCATGTTCATACGTACCAATTTAATTACTAGTAAACTACCATATGGGTAGTTTAGGAAGATACTAGAACCATTACTAGAATGCGATATCATACAATGAGTCAGTTCATTCATGAGTCAATACTTGCTAGATAGAGAAAGAACACACATTACAGCTAGCACACGCAGAACATTACAATACATTACTTTACATTTACATTGATACGTTTACATAGAGATCCTGTTATAAGCATGCCTATATATGTATAATTATATAAGCAATGTTTAAAGGACTTAGGAAGGCTATCCACCCTATTTCCTTTTCGCGCTTGAGATGTGGTCTGGTGGGCTATCGGGTACCCGTCTGAAGGTCGTTTAAACATTAGTTATATATCATGTGTACATATATGGACACAATAGTCCCTTTTAGTCAGTTCAGTACCTTTGGGTAGCAAAGGCATACATTCATATACTTTTACATGATTACGCTTACATAAGTACATATACATGAATACGTTAACAAAATTGTGATCCACTGTATCGGAGCATGCCTTCAATGTCATGGCCCGAGTTGTAGCCATAGTCTCTTAGAGGGAGAGCGTGAGTTTGCGTATAGATCTATACTGGATTGACTATCCTACACCTTGCTGCTAGCTACAGCCGGACCTGCAGGTCTGCGGGTGCTAAACGTCATTTCTTTTTACGACCTACATTTTTCGTTGTTATCCAGTCGATAGTATGGTACAATTAATCACATGATACCTTAATATAAATCCGGTTTAATGTAATTAGTACAGCAGTAGTTCTTATAGCACTACACTATAGTACTATATTAATTTTTCCTTTACATATATTTAGTGATCTTTTCACTTAAGCATTAAATGTAAAAACTATATTTTGTTAATGATAGTAACACTTGGAAAAATTACACACTTTTACAAGAAACGTACATTTAGAACGGTTAGGTCTTGGTAGAAGACTACATTCAGAGCAGTTAGGTCTTGGTAGAAGACTCTCTTTTATAATAGTAGGAATCATATGGATTTCTAGGGTTTTTCAAACGTTTACAGTTTTTTTACAAACATTTTCAAACTTACAGCTCGTTTACATTTTCAATACTTACAATTCGTATACATACAAATACTTACAGTTCATTCGTACAAATACTTACATTTCAAATACATACAAGTATTTACACACAAATTAAGACACTAAAATACTTATGATCTCACCAGCTTTAAAGTTGATACTCTCTTTCAAAATTACTTGTATCCTCAGGTCATCAATAGATAGGTACCGATGCAAGGTTTAGAGAAGATGGAGCTCGTTCAAGACTCATCTTTCTTTTGATTTATACTTTAGTGTCTATTATAATTTGTCAGAACACACTTGTATAATAATTACATTATTAATGCAATGGATGATGTTGTTGCTTGTTTACTACTTTACATTGTTGTGATACTGTACATAACGTCCTCCGCCCCAGAACGTTTCCACCGTTCTTGGTTTTGGGGTGTGACAGTTTGGCTTCGTAATGCAAGGTTTGTACATCTCGTTAAGTCTCGTTATGATTGTTATATGCCCCCGAGGGTTAAGGAATAAGGTTTTATCGAATAGACCCATCACTTGCCCTAATTAGGATTTAGAATTTCCGAACATACGAACTTTCCAAGTGATAGCTTCTTATTAAAATAGCGAGTTGAACAACTTTAAGCATAATGGAAACCCTAATATATATAAGGGTTAGATGAGTTGGCCGGTTTGACCAGTTGACTTTGTTTGACTTTGACTTGACTAGAAATTAACGATTGTCACACGGTTCCGGTTCGCAAAGCAAGTACCTAGTTCTGCTGCTCATCCCTAAGTGTGGTATATGGTGTTTTAGGGAACTCGCTAAGTTTTATGCTTACCCGGTTGAATATATATGTTTTTTAGGTACTTCATTGATTTGTGATAAGGGCAAGGTTCGACTGTACACACACACGTTCACAATATGTTTCCGCACAATACTCTGATATATATATTTTAACAAATAAAATGAAAATTTAGGTTGAATATCGAGACGTTACACATATGCTCCACGATAATGGTATGCTTAGTCTTCGTGTGATCTGGTGAGTTATAATAACTCCTCTATTATATAGACTTTACTTGTTAATGTGTGTTGTTGTTCACGTATATCATTCAGGGTAGAGTTGACAATAAACAAAATGTAACTTGTTCCCAAGTGGGGGACAAATTATGCTCTTATATCTTATTCCTAGGTTAGGGAGTAAGGGTTTGTTCTTAAATAGATCGTAGAAAGGAAAGGGGTTGGTACCAAAAATATGTGTAAGGAACTAGTGTGCTCTATCAATATTATGTGATTTATGTGTTAAGTGTGGGTAAATGATCGATATAAGGGGTGAGTGATGTGTATGATCATTACGTTTTATGATTACTCATTGTTCTTTAAACTTTTAGAATTGGGGGACAAATTATGCTCTTATATCTTATTCCTAGGTTAGGGAGTAAGGGGTTTGTTCTTAAATAGATCGTAGAAAGGAAAAGGGTTTGTACCAAAAATATGTGTAAGGAACTAGTGTGCTCTATCAATATTATGTGATTTATGTGTTAAGTGTGGGTAAATGATCGATATAAGGGGTGAGTGATGTGTATGATCATTACGTTTTATGCTTACTCATTGTTCTTTAAACTTTTCAGAATCATCGGGTACAGATAAGGACAAGAGACCGGAGCGACTGCAAGCAACATTCTCATACTTATTAAACTTTCATTATGAATTTTTGTTTATGAACTTAGATAGAGATTGTTCCGGTAATATGTTTTCTAAGCAAATTCATTTTTGGTAATATGATATTGTGTTTGGAAGTTTGAACGAAGAAGTATTTTAATGTTTTTCTTAAAAAAGTGGAGTTAATTTTTTAGGTTGTTACAAAGTTATCACATCGTCCATATTGGTTATGAACGCTACCTCCCTAGCGTCCTGAGAGCTTCCTCCAGCCACATCAGGAACTAGGTACAAGATTACACACTATATATCACACTCAGACAATACGCTATAGGCAGGATCTAACTGTTTCCATCCATAACAACTGTCATGAACATTGAGCATACAACCTATAAAGATGATTGGTAGCATACATACGGTGAATGTATAAATGTATATTTTATGGACAAATTAAACAATTAATTGTAACAAAATTAATAAATGAAAATAAACACTTCAATTTTGAAAAAATATTGTATCACACATACAAAAGCCACGAAACATAGTTGAAAACGATCCATAACATTTGTTCTAACGTTGGTGAAACTATATGGGTTCGCTCTTTTAAGATTATGCAAATAAACAGAGACAAAGCTTTGGTTATGATCATGATATGAGAAACTCATTTTGAGAAGCTCTATTTTTTTTTCTCAAAGCAATCTCTTATTAGATAACATGCTCTACCGTGTACGGATTTTCGCAATACTGAATCTAATTTTTGCATTACGATCTCTGATTTTCGCAGTCAATATGTCAAGACGATAGATTTTTTTGTCAAAAAATACACTATTTTGATAGACTTTTGAATATATATATATATATATATATATATATATATATATATATATATATATATATATATATATATATATATATATATATATGAGCTGCAAAAATTAATTATGATTATTATTTATTTTATAATTACTTATTGTAAAAAAAATTGAGAAAAACAATATTGTTTAGTTATTACTCTAATGCCTTGCTTTTGAATTTTTAGTAAATTCAACAAAGAAAAAAAAAAAGAAAAATATTGAAACAAAGAAATAGAGGGACAAGAAAAATTTTCTTTGTGTTTTCGAGTTCTAAGGAAATAAAAGAAACTCTTAAGATTTTATGTTTTTTTTTTTTCAGAATCTGTACAACTTAAAGGAAAATATGTTTCCAAAATCTTTTCCCTTCTTTTTATTTTTCTTCGATCAACTGCAACCTCGTTTATTATGTCCTGCGTCAGTGTGAATTTTGGATGTTTTTGCGACATATGTAATCCGCTTGATATGAAAACTCGAAGACACCTGTCCGCCACCTCCTTCATCCTAAATTCTTCTCTCACTAGGCATCAAAATTCGTACTCGAACAAGGAACAAGAAGCATTGGTTTCAATTTCCAAAATCCGCCCTCAAAGGTACTACTGTCGTTCCCATTTTCTCTAGATTTCGATGTCAAATGGGATTAATTCGACTTACTTTACCCTGTTCCGATTCTTTCTTGCCTAATCGATTAGGGTTTGTTCCTATGTCTATGCGAATTTTCAGCTCATTGCCCTTTCTGCAATTCATAAAATGCGTTTGGAAACGTAAATCATATGTTCTTCACTTCCGCTTTCAGAAATTCTTGATTTAGGGTTTCACGTGAATGGCACTTTTGTGTATTTTTCAGTCGGTGCCCTAAGTTCTTACAATTCGTTAATAGAGTTTTAATGTTGAATTCGTTCTCTGTATTAACATATTATACATGTATCATAGGCCGTAATCTAGGGCATGACTGGGAAGAAAGCTATTGCGATATGCCAATTAGGTGGCGTATTCAAGACTCTCGATGATGGCTCATTGTCGTATGAAGGTGGGGATGCTCATGCCATAGATATTGATGAGAATTCAAAGTACAGTGATTTCGAGATCGAGGTAGCAGAGATGTTCAACTGTTCACCGAATTTCATGTCTATCAAATACTTCCTTCCTGGAAACAGGAAGACACTCATCACAATCTCCAATGATAAAGACCTTCAACGCATGATGAAATTTCATGGCGATTCTAGCAGCATTGATGTGTATGTCATGATGGAAGAAGTTGTTCCAGATGTTTCAAATATGCCTGCGAGTAGGTAATTTTCATCACTCATTCTGTTGTTCTTTATATTATTGACTAAAATAGATGAGATATATATTTTAGGGTTGATTTGAGTTATAGTTTATTGCTAATAGGTCTAGTTTAGCTAAAAAGGGAATGCCTCAAATGGGTTTTAGAAGTTGCCCAACTAAACTCCTTTATTCTAAAGAATTAGATCATTTTGTTAATAATAGCTTTTATTATCATATTTGTAACAAACCTTCTTCATTTGTCCCATCTAGGTCATTTAACTTTTTATTGTAGGTTATAGGCTATGTGCTTTCTTACTTTATTTTATTCAGGTCATTCTGACCAATTTTTGACCGGTTAAGGCAGTGACATAATTGACCGGTCAATGCTATGTCACTGCTTTAACCGGTCAAACTGATTGACTTAATATATTATTTATTCTTTTTTGCAGGTCAAGCAGAACAACATTATCGGAAGCCGGACTTCTCACGGACCCCACTCCTTGCGTATTGGACGATGACATGGACGAAATAAGTCCACGTGTACTCCTCGATTCCACTTTCGATGTCCCAAACGACCTCGCAAACCTCAACGACGAAATTCCCATAATACCCCCCTCCCCTTCCCTCCCCCTCACCATCTCCCTCCCCCCTACCCCAAAACACACCAAAGCCGCCCAACAATGGCAAAACAACATCACCGGAGTCGGCCAACGCTTCAACACCGTAACCGATTTCCGCGACGCGCTACGCAAATACTCAATCGCACATCAATTCGCGTATAAATATAAAAAAAACGATAGCCACCGTGTCACTGTTCGATGCAAATCCGATGGTTGTCCATGGAGGATCCACGCTTCAAGACTTTCCACAACCCAATTGATATGCATCAAGAAAATGAACCCCACGCATACATGCGAAGGCTCCATTGTGAAAACGGGTCATCAAGCCACAAGAAGTTGGGTCGCGGGTGTTATTAAAGAAAAACTAAAAGTGTCCCCAAATTATAAACCCAAAGATATCGTCACCGATATTAAAGAACAATATGGTGTTCAATTAAATTATTTCCAAGCGTGGAGGGGTAAAGAAATTGCTAAAGAACAACTTCAAGGTTCTTATAAAGAAGCGTATGGACAATTACCGTATTTTTGTGACCAAATCATGGAGACAAATCCCGGGTCCCGCGTGACTTTTAACACAAAAGACGACTCGAGTTTTCACCGATTGTTTTTATCGTTTCACGCTTCGTTATACGGATTCCAACATTGTAGACCGTTGATTTTTCTCGGGAGTGTTCCGTTGAAGTCGAAATACCAAGGGACTTTACTGGCGGCAACCGCCCCGGATGGCAACGACGAGGTTTTTCCGGTGGCTTTCGCGGTGGTGGACATGGTTTCCGACGATAACTGGCGGTGGTTTTTGGAGCAACTCAAGGCGGCGTTGATTACGTGTCACGGGATCACGTTTGTTGTGGATCGGGAAACGGGGATAAAAGAGGCGGTGCGTGGTGTTTTCCGGGAGGAAAACGTCCACCACGCGTATTGTCTCCGGTCACTTTCCGATCAACTTATACGCGATTTGACCGGAAAGTTTTCGCATGAAGTGAAGCGGTTGATTGTCGATGATTTTTACGCAGCGGCTTACGCGATGAAACCGGACGATTTTCAAAAATGTATTGAAAGTATTAAAAGTATTTCGGTTGAAGCTTATAATTGGGTGATTGCAAGTGAACCTGTTCATTGGGCAAACGCATTTTTCCTAGGGGCAAGATATAATCATATGACATCGAATTTTGGTGAGATTTTTTACAACTGGGCTTCAGATGCTAATGAATTACCAATAACACAAATGGTGGATACAATTAGGAGTAAGATTATGGAGTTGATTTACAACCGAAGAGCCGCTTCTAACCACTGGTTAACTCGGTTAACCCCGGTTAGTTCAGAGAGGTTAGAAAAAGAAAGTATTAAAGTTTGCGCACTTCAAGTTTTTAACTCGGGTGAACAATTTGAGGTTAGGGGGGATAGTATTGAAATAGTGGATATTAATAATTATGATTGTAGTTGTAAAGGGTGGCAAATTACGGGGTTGCCGTGTTGTCATGCGATTGCGGTTATTGGGTGTTTGGGGCGGGACCCGTATGATTACTGTGCGAGGTATTTTACGGTTGAGAGTTATCGGTTGACATATTCGGAATCGGTGAATCCGATTCCGAGGGAGGAGAAGGTGATGGCGGAGGGGTTTTCACAGGCGATTGTGACAGTGACCCCTCCGCCGACTAGGCGGCCGCCAGGGCGGCCGCCTAGTAAGAAAGTTGGAATGCAGGAAGCGAATAAGCGGCAACTTCAGTGTAGTAGATGTAAGGGCACCGGGCATAATAAATCGACTTGTAAGGAGTTTATGTTAACGTGAAAATCGAGTAAGTGGTTGTTATATTTATATCTATAAATCTTATTTTTAGAAACCGATACTGATGTCAATGAGATAAAAGTACAGTAAAAGTACAGTTTTTTGTCTCATCCAAAAAGGTGGGACAGAGTCAGGGACTCACTCTTGATTTGTTGTCTGTGTAAAAGACATGAGTGCCCTTTGAATCTTCATCATCTTATATAGCCTAGAAAGTTTGTCCAAATCTATGTAACAAACACAACATTAATGTTGCCTTTGTTACACTGGACTGGACACGGTTTGTAAAGCTATTTTTGATGATGAGGATGTGGAGGGCGTTTACATCTTTTGCACAAACGAGATATTAGGTAAGTCAAAAAGTTATATTTTTGTCGTTTTTTTTTTGACAGGAGGAATAAACTGTTACTGTGATTCATCGTCTGTTACGTGTTACATCAAGCTTGGTTTTGCTGCCTGTTTTTTAGTTATCGTAGAAGTATTTTTTGTTTTTTTTTTTTTTTTTTTAAATTTCTTTAAATCTTTTAGGAGATAGTTTTAGCAATGGTCATTTGTACAGTTTTGCTTTGGTTGTAGACATGATAAACACCTGCAGATATAAATAAGTAGGAACCATGGCTGGTTTACAGTTTAAACTCGTTTTTGAATTTATTTTTTGGCGGGTTGAGACAATGAAATTAGTGGTATTTATGTCTTTTCCACAAATAAGTAAATTATTTTCACCACCTTTTTTTCAGAGTAAATGTATATGTGTAACAACTAACAAAAGTAGCCTTGGTAGTAAATTTCTTTTGTGGATTGATTATAAATCTCTAAAAGATCGAGGGCTTAATGTTGTTCCTTGGAAGTTCAGGGTCTTCTTTGGAAACTTCTTGAAATACTTTAATAGATGCGACGGTTTTGTTTGTTTTATTTTTTGAACCACTGAATGTGCATAAATAAATCGAAATGTTCAAGCGTAAGTCTAAATATTCATTAAATTGAGCAAATCCACCAACAAATGACATACAGAAATCGAAATATTTAGCCATATCTCCACTTGTCTCCAAAATTAAGCCGATATTTCACAATTAGAAAAAAAAAAAAAAAAAAAAAAAAAAAAAATGTTGCATAAGGACAAAGAATAGACAATATGCAATAACGATGGGTGTCGTGATGGGAAATCTCAATGGGAGTTATTTTTAAAAGCTTTTCGGTTTATCAAGCTCTTAAAAAAATTTGGTATTTATTGTGAAAACTTTATATTCTAAGTTTTCTCAAAAGTATGTATGCTGTTTCAGCTTCTTTGAAGAAGTTGAGAGGCATAAGCAACAAGGATAATTGTAAAATTAATAATGGTTTTAAATCCACACGTTCAAAGAGTTTATTAGTCATAAATGTACAAAAAGTTATTTTTCACTAAGTAACTAATACAAAAAGTTAAATACTTATTCCGGATTGAACAAACTAATGCAATAGGTTTTTCATGCAAAATATAAGGACAAATGGATCATTTTTGTAACTTTACTATTACAAGGGATCATTTTTGTAATTTTGTTTGAAAATTACAGTATTACATAGAGATCAATTATGCAATTTTTACATTTCATCTATTATATAGGACCATTTTCGTAGTTTTACTATTGTACATCAACCATTTCATTCTGTAATTATAGATACGGAGTCATTTTAACAACACATTGATCATTTTTGTAATTTGTTTTATACTATTACAAATAAGTTATTTACTATTAAATAAGGACTATTTATGTGATATTTATTTATTGCTAATAGGCAAGGCATTTTCTGTTTTACTATTAAACAATGTCAATTTCTGTAATTATACAAATTAAAAAAATGTGATGTGACATTAGATACAGTAAAAAAAATAACATAGTAAATATTATATATATATATATATATATATATATATATATATATATATATATATATATAATTAACGAGTCTCGATAATTAAGCTCGTGAAATAGATTTCTTATTATACAAGTGTATTAGCTTTTTTTTATACTAAACTAGCGGAAAAACCTGGGCTTTGTTTCGGGCCGTTTTTTGTGTTTTTTATGAAAAAATGTAAAAGTTTTAACTGCAAAAACCAAAAGTGTCGAAATGGCTAAAAAATTATAAGGATTGGAATTAGCAAGTTTTTAAAAAATGGAAGTCAATTTCGACATGACTGCTAGACAGAAAACAGTTTTTGAATGTCTTCAGGCACCTCATACTCAAGATTTTCTCCTAAGTATCACTATTGATGGTCTTGATGAGCATATGTCTCATAAAAATTTAGATGTAAGGGTATCGGGCATAATAAGTCGACTTGCAAGGAAGTTATGTTATCATGAAAATTTAGTGAGTATTATATTTATATAGTAAATATTACTTTTATAACAGATACTGATATCAATGGAAAAAAAAAACAAAAATATAATTTTTTGTCTCATCTAAAAAGGTGTGACAGGCTCACTCCAAAAAGTATTATACTTTTGTCCCATTAACATTGTTATTTGTCTAAGTTTTCTTTGGTATTTGTCTAAGTTTTCTTTTTCATCTATGCGACGATTTTAACTTGGGGTCAGTTTTTTTTTTTTTTTTTTTTTTTTTTGACAGGAGGAATCTACTGTTACTGTGATTCAACAACTGTTAAGTGTTGACATCAAGTTTGGTTTTGGTGCCTGTTTTTTATTTATGGTAGAAGTATTTTCTGTATTGATTTCTTTAAATCGATTAGGAGACAAGAGTCTTAGCAATGATCATTTTGTACAGTTTTGCTTTTGCTTGTAGACATGATAAACACCTGCACATATAAATAAGTAGGAACCATGGCTGGTTTAAAGTTTAAACTGGTTTTTGAATTTATTTATTGTTTTAACTGAGGAGGAGGTAACGTCTTTTACGTAAATGAGAGAGATTGTTATCCCATCTTGCTCTACTTTTTGTCAGGGTAAATGCATGATATGATCATGTTGTTTTGGTGGATTGATTATAAATCTTCAAAAGATCGAGGGCTTAATGTTGATAAAAGTTCAGGGTCTGCTTTGGAAATTTCTTGAAATATCAAATAGATGTGATAATTTTATTAAAAGCTAGCAAGAAGAACAAAGGATCAAGGCTCGATAGGATTTTTTTATCAACGTAATCCAAATTTTCAAACCCGTGGGATGTCGCTTACAAAACCAATTAAAAGAATAAAGAACTATGGAATAAAAAAAACATGTTTTTTGTATGTGTTATTCTAGAATGCTATGGAGTTCAAATATGAACAATAACAGCCAAGCATCGTAATAAAAATCGAGATAAGAATGTGCCTCAGAGACGATGACCGGTCCAATGGTATTTGAAGCCCAGGACGAGAATAATGATGCCTTTTGATTGTACCATATGTCCATACAACCACAATGAAGTTATATTTATATTTAAAAAATACGACATATATATATATATATATATATATATATATATATATATATATATATATATATATATATATATATATATATATATAATACACACCATGTAACGATGTTAATTGCAAAAAAAAAAAAAAAAAAAAACTAGAGATTTATTTAAAATACATATCTTAATAGTTAAACCAAAAGAAAATAACAAATAGTATTAACTAAAATGCCACTAAAGACATTAATACAATTACATTTTTTCTGAACCACGGAGGCAAATATAGAAAGTAGAAAACCAACATGAAGCTGGAGGCCACATACAAACTAACTAAAGCAACAAAAATTGAGGCCAAAAAAACAAATAACATCTTCCAAAAGAGAAACTAGTCAACTATATACAAATATTCTAAAACAAGATGGGTAAAAGAGTTAAATGGGCTTTTTGGCAATCAACCCAACACTATATGATGTAGAAGATGTGAGCATATCATCAATCTTATTATCCATCTAGGCAATCCTTTCCAGCACACAAGGTAAAATGGACTTTTTTTGGTTTTGACAAAACACTTATACTTGAGTGACATAAGAACAAATGAACATCGTCTCTTCAATCTTGATAACAAATAAATATTATGTGCCATTTCTTGATTTTCCTTCCAAGAGTGATCTTCCATTTCCATCTTCAAAGTGTCATTACACTCATGAGAGCCGTCTTCTCAAAATTGAAGCAAACAAGGAATTTCCCTTCAGCTATCACCATGAGAACCCACTACAGATTATGATTCATTGTTTCCTTGTTACCTTGAAAAAACAAACCCATTCCAGTTGAGATCAATTCCGACCAACCCAGTTAACCCGTGCCATTGAAACAATTACACAGATGTGAGAGATAACCAAAGAACAATGTATGCCAAGTGAAATCCCCACCCAAGATATTGATAAATTATACCAATAAAGAATTAACCCACTAGATAAATGATTGCAGTCATGTATCCTATTGATGTCTACCCTATGGACAACAAGCACACCAAGTGAAGCCCCCTTTCATCCTTATTTCAAAAATACATATGATAAAATCAGATAAAAAGATCATCTCGTTTTAGATCCAGGATGTGTAACGATTCCTGAAAAATTATGATAAAATCAGATAAAAAAAAGTGTAATCTGTGCTACATCGATTTCAAATAAAAAATCGTTTGGATACTCTGATTCACACAAAAAGAAATTGGGAATAAAACAAAATCAGAAATCAGGAACTCAATTAAACTAGGAATTAGACATAATTTAATTTGTAAATTCAAAATCTAGCAAGAAATTCATGTTCACTATCGATTAGAATGTATTATATGATAAAAAAACGACATATTATAGTGAATTTGGATACCTAAGTTTATATACTCTTAAGGGTATATTTAATTTTCCAATATATATATATATATATATATATATATATATATATATATATATATATATATATTGTGACAACCATCAAATTTCGGTCAAGTCAAAGTCAACTAAAGTCAACAAGTCAAACCGTTTGACTCAAATTGCCCTTGGGTACTAGAATTTACATTATGAAATTTCTACATAACTCTCTATTCTAATGAGAGATCATAAATCAAAAGGTGCGAATATCTAGATCTCCTTAACCTAAAACTGTGGTACGTGGCTAGCCAAACCGATAAAACAATGTTGCATACTCATCGGGAGTGTGTAAGATCCTTAAACAAGGCTTAACAGGGTTTACGAACCTTGCCTAGCGAAGCCAGACACTCACAAATGCCACACTCGAAACCTCTCTCAATCGTTTTCACTCTATCTCTCTCTATTTGAAATCTCTCTAAGTATGTGAAACCTCTCTCAAATATCTCTCTGTATGAGAAATCTCTCCAAGAATGTCAAATCTCTCCCAAATCTATCCAAGTATGTGAAATCTCTCTCAAATATCTCTCTGTATTAGAAATCTCTCCAAGAATGTCAAATCTCTCCCAAATCTCTCCAAGTATGTGAAATCTCTCTCAA